TCCCCTAAATGGCAGAAATTTAATGATGCCCCCCCTGCATATTAGAATATTTTTCTTTGACCCCCCCCCCCATTTTCATTTTTACTCGTCAAATGGGGATACCCAGGCGTTATAGTATTAATTATTAAATAAGAATATGGAACTGGCAAGATATTAACGTCGACCAAAAATATATATTTATTAGCAGAAAATTATAATTAAAAGAGGAGTATTTTTATATATAACACTAAAATCAGGTTTCCATTTGGTCTGGGCGATTGTAACCATGTTTAAGGCTGCAACTAGACTTGATGGTACGAATTATTGCCATAGCAGCTGCGCGGCAACAATGAGAGCAACAATCAGTAAAATTAGCAGCAAAAGGAGATAGCAATGACAATTCTGCAAAGGCATACCTGCGAAATACAATGTATAGTGGTCTATACATCCTATTTTATGTGAGATTAAAAATTATATAAAATAAAATGACATATACTAGCTACCAGATAAAATCTTTTAGAATGAACATGGGTGGGTGGGTCGGGAAAAGGTATCGAAGCGCAAAACTTGCTGCAGCTAGGCAAAGCATACAATGGCAGAATGAATACCCAGACCCAAGCACTGATCGCAAGGCATGAAACAACCCCCTTTGATCGATATGACGTCACAGACTCCCTTCAGCGGATGTGGCCTGCATAATACAAACGCCGTTAACTGCTTAATTTAAATGTATTTAACCACATCAAGAGCTGATGTAATAATACATTGTCAAATGTCAATTTAACTAGTCTGCAATCCGTAAAGACTGATTTGCATACAGCACACACAAGACAAGATGAATCCAGACTATTTCACATCAGTGACCATGATTTAGTTGCAACATTTACAACCAAATGGATACCAGGTTATTAAGCAAATTCCTTCAAGTTTAATTGCAACCCCTCCCCCCTGTCATTTTCTTGAAAAAATTTAATAGCCCCCCCCCTTCTAGTCATTTATTTCTGCATATGCCCCCCTTATTTTTTCCCTCCCCCTCCCCCTTCCATAAATGATGACCGGTCTCTTATTGTTAAAATCGAGGATGTCGTTAAAATTAAACTGTTTAAACCTGTAAGATCTTCGCCCCAGTTCGGGAACATTTTATATTATGTTGTGTTTTACCAAATAATGTCCTTGCCCTTGCACGGTTCCCATTTGTAAAAAACTGCTGTAAATCATATCCCCCTTTAATTAATTTGATCTCATCCGTGAGTCGGCCTCGAAGGCCTTTGATTAATTCTTAAAATACTTCTTGGGAAACTTCATTATTCACTGCTGACGTAGAGTTGAATGCTAGATGGTCGGAGTTCCCGTCTTGAAGGAATTATCTTGCTACAATTGGCGTCAATTGCGTGCAGTCAGCAGGATGTGAAATGTGCACAATAAACAATTGCGTAATGTAGACTTGAATATTAAAATTTGATGAAATGGCGAGGTAAGACTACTATTTTGATTTTTTAATGATTTAGCAAAATACCACTGATGAAATGGCCAACAAATGAGCAAGCCAATATATTATACGTTAGTTTATATTTCTACTTTCACAATTAGTATTTGTATATTGCAAGCTTGCAACAGTAAAAAGCGGTCAACACGAGGATGAGAGTGCATGAGAGATGGCAATCACGTGATCTTGGTTAGCTGTTCTTAATGCCTTCCCACCACTATCATGTGTTCATGGCCAGAAATTCAGGACATGCGCCCGCAATATATCTCAGCGGTTTTTCCTATGAAAAGTTATTCATACCTAACAAACGCAAGTTTTAACTAAAGAAATACATTTTGCTTAGTTTTTTGTTTAACTAAAGCAGAAAAATACATATATTAGGTATTGACGGCCTTTTACATACCTTTCATTTATTATGATGGGATATAAATTGATGCGCATGGTAAACGACTCAAATATTTTGTGTATACATCGCTATCCCTCCGTGTAGCCCACACTGGAAGAAAGCCTGGTTCCTAAGCTTCTTGTTGATATCAAACATGGACGACAATTCATGAAACATCGTTCTTCTTGCAATGTTTTACGGCCTATCGACAGTGTATTTATGGGTAAAATATCAACATTTTGTCCCGTAAATTGGAACAAGTTAAAAAAATCGTATCACTATGAAATTATGCAGACAAGCAGAGGAGAACATATATTTTACGACGCGAAGTCTGCAAATTTCATGAAGGGTTCGAGGGATACATGCGGCCAGAGCAAAATGTACGTTTTGAACGATTTTCTCAAGTTTTACTATACTTTATTATACGCCGATATACTATGAAGTGAAACTTTTTCGTTTTACGGTCCAGATATAGTTTATATTATTGCGAAGTCTGCAAATGACATAGCTATTATCAAACAAGTTTAAATTTAAAAAAACCGCACCACTCCTAATGATTTATATATAACAAATCCGCCATTTTGTTTGTCAAAGTTCGCACATGCTCAGAATCAATGTCCTTAATTTCTGGCGATGTTATTGAAGTTAAAACGCAGTTGGACACTCGCCAAACCTTTATTTTCTTAATTAATCTAGAGCTTAAAATGACCCCTGTAACAATACGTATATCAACTACCAACTTTCATCAATACTCAACAGGGGCTTTATTCGAATTTTTTCTTTGGTCCTTTGGCTTTGATGTTTGAAGCCCTCAAAGGGAATAACTATAGAATACGTTGCATTGTGGTACTTGAGAAGTCGTATTTACCAAGTCATGCATATAATAATAATAATACACGTTTTTAAAAAACGATGCAATACAAAACCAGTTTAGCACAGATAATTTACACTAATTTACGTTAAAGTGCCCCTGACACAAAAATTTTTTTTCAGTCTATTGAAAGTACTCATTTATTATAGTGTTCTAGCGAAAGAATTTTTCGATTTCATCAAAACGAAAACATTTTAGAGCCGTTTGAAAACGCAAAATTTGGGCTTTTGGCAGGGCGCTATAAAACACGGGCGGTGAAACGGAGATAGCGCCCCTGATCTTTGTGTGATGTGCGTACCCCCCGTATACATTAATTTATAATGTCAATAAAAATGGAATTGGAATGTTTATGCAAAAAAGAGCTGAAAAAACCGCGGAAAAAACTAAAGTAAAAAATGTTTTCTGCACATTCCTAAACAACTTGATGGTTTGAAGACATTGTTGATTCATTTTCTGTATATCTAATGAAGGAAAAAGGGTTTTAAAGATTCATCATGAGCGAAATAAAAATTTGAAAAGGAATCGAGCTGATCGAATGTGGGCATATTCCAAATACGGAAATTTTGGTATGAAATGGGATATTTTACTTCATAATGCGAAGGTAGGATAAACATTTTCACAGTAAGAATATTCCGACATTGCTTGGCTACTATTTTTCAATAATCACATAGCCAAAAATTGACCATGCATGCATTTAAAACAACTACAATTTGATAAAAACAACTACAATTTGCTCCACAATTTGAAAACTTAAATTAGTTAAATATATAACCGTTTTTGTGTTAACCAGCCGGCATGCTCGGAATCCATTGAAAGTTCATTGTAAAGTGTTTTTTACTAATTGATTTGATTTCTATTATTGGTATAACTGCCGCCGACACTCCAAACATATTCAGCGTGAATCTTTTTTCGTGCGACTGCAGTCGTTGACATGATACAGTGACAATGTTACGGAAACTACTATTAAGGCTGCAAGATATCTTCGTTTTATGAAAAAAGCCCAAAAAAGCCCCGTTCAATTTTACTTGAGACATAAAGCCAAGTTGAATGTCTATGGTTTGGTGTGTTCAAATTTATCTCAACCTATCTCAACCATAGATATCTTATATACACTAGATAGTGCATCTAATTATTTCATGCAATTCAAAAATTGAAGCCGTGATTGCAGTCTCAGGTCGTTCCCATGAAATGAGAAGATTCGTATGTTTTCTATTTCTTGAACAGGGAACTTAAACATTAAGTTAACCTTATTCCAAAAACATTTTTAAACTATTCGAATGATGAAAGTTATTGTTGTTTTTAAGTGTTTATTAGCAAGTGGGAACGACCAACATGGCCGCCATCTATTCAAATGGGGGTAACCGCTGGAATATTCTTGGCTTCAATTTTACTAAAAGAGATGCGCTATCTAGTGTATATAAGATATCTATGATCTCAACGAGGAGAAAATACTATTTTAAATACGTCCGCGCTTTGATAAAAAGGAAAAAATGTCGTCAAAATCGAGTTCAAAATGCATATCTTTTCCTCAACAATCGCTTCGTTCATTTTGCAAGTGAAATAGATACCAATTTTAGCAATATAAGCTGATACTAGATACTTCCGGCAATAAACATTTATAGTATGTATTTGAAACAGGAAGTGATTTCGTTTAATTGATAATTGAAAATTTGTGTTGTTTACATATCGTATTATCTGCATAAATAAGTATAGTAGTCGCGAATCTATTGTCGTGTGGAGTACAGTTTTCGGAAAACTACTAGAAAATACATGCATGCAGAAACCCTCGCCTTGCTGACAAAACCGTTGTATTTTCCGAACATGAAGTATCTAAAGTAGTTGTCATGGTAACACGATAATTTTTTAAGAATATTCTTATAAATGAAAATCGCCTAAAAATATCACTTTTAATTACAAAATTATCAATTTCCCAACATATTTATGTTAGGTATGTAATTATACGTAAAACAAGCTTCAATTTAAGGTAAAATTCAACCACAAACAATTCACAATATGTTTTAAAGTGTTCTTTATAAAACTAAACTGCCTTTAACTATTAAATGGCTTTATCAATAAACTTTGAGTTTGCAATAAAATGATTTCAAATTCTCGCTTGCAAATAACTTTGCTTTTTTTTTTATTTAAAAAATTCAATATAATAAAAAAAGAATCAATATTAAAGATACACTGAAATTATATATAATTAAATTATATTATTAAGAAATGAACTGCGCTCATCTCGAAGACTGCTACTTGAAGGTCAACAAAGTGAACATCTCATGATCGAACTGTATCCTGCGAACTGCTCGAAATTCCTATTAAGTCTCTTCTATAGACCACCAAATTCTGAAGAAGATATACTAATTGAGTTGAGAGACTCTCTTGATCGTTTAGATGAATCATGTCAACTTGTTCTGGTCGGTGATTTTAACCTACCCAATATTGACTGGTCATTGGACTTTCCTTCTCCCACATCTAAAGGCAGTTTCAAGGAGGAACTTTTTTGCGAGATTATTACAGATCAATTCCTCTACCAAAAAGCTGTCGGTCCGACACACCTGCATGGTAATAAATTGGACTGTGTATTCTCGAATTCTCCGAAGCTCATCACGAACGTGAACTGTACAAATCCAACTGATCTATTTCCAACTGATCATTATCTTATCGAGTTCGATATCAAAGTTTGTTTTCAAAAAGCAAAATCGATAAGACGAACAGTGTATGACTTCAATAATGCAAACTTCGACGGTGCTCGTGAACATCTAATGAATGTCCCTCTCGATTCTGCGATATCCAATAATTCAGATATAGACGAATGTTGGAAAGCATGGAAAGATCTATTTATCACAGCAATAGATAAATTTGTACCTATAAAGACAGTCGTTGACACCAACACACCACCTTGGATAGACCGGGATGTTAAACACATGATTAGGAAGAAATACACAGCTCTACGACACTATCGTCAGAAACGAACGGAAGGACGAAAACGCAAACTCCGTCAGCTGACACAGGAAACTAAGGACTTGATTAAACAAAAACGCCATCAATACATAGAAAAAGTTCAAGATTCCCTCGCAAAATCACCTAAGTTATTCTGGTCCTACCACAAACATATCCTCCGCAATAGAAATTCCCCACCTGCTAACACGTACAACAACTCAACTGCAACAACACCACACAAAAAAGCAGAACTTTTCAACGCATTCTTCGCCTCTGTTTTTCTTCCGAAGTCATCTTCCCAAGATGAAAACCTGAACATGACACAAAAAACTTACGAAATAATATCTGATATTCAGATCTCGCAGAATGAAGTCGAGCAGTACCTTAACCATTTGGACACAACAAAGGCTTATGGCCCAGACGGAATACCACCACGTCTACTGAAAGAACTCTCAAGAGAAATCTCGACAAGCCTCTGCAGTTTGTTCAACATGTCCTTAACAACAGGCCGCCTACCTATGGAATGGAAACATGCGAACGTTATACCCATCCACAAAAAAGACTGTGTCGAACCCGTGACCAACTACCGTCCCATTTCCCTTCTGCCAATAATTTCCAAAGTTCTCGAAAGATGCGTTTTCAATAACATTTACCCATTTGTTCGGGTACTGATCAATAATGTCCAACATGGCTTCTTAAGAAATCGTTCATGTATAACCCAGCTTCTAGGTATACTACATGACATTGGTAAAAATCTGGATCGAAACAAACAAATCGATGTGCTATACCTAGATTTCTCGAAAGCGTTCGACTCTGTAGATCATGACATCCTACTTCACAAACTACAAATGCATGGCATAAACGGAACGCTTTTACGATGGTTCGAAAACTACTTGAACGATAGATGGCAGCGAGTTGTCATTGATGGTGCAGCCTCTGCATGGTCTCCAGTAACATCAGGTGTACCGCAAGGCAGCATTCTGGGACCGTTGCTCTTTCTCATATTCATAAATGATCTTCCCGATAACGTTTCACCCAGTACGAACTCAGCACTGTATGCAGATGATTCAAAGTTATACAGAGAAATAAAATCGGTAGAAGATTGCCAGTTCCTGCAAGACGACCTTGCCAAACTGGAAAAGTGGAGCACTGATTCAAAAATGCGATTTAACACTGAAAAGTGCAAAGTGCTGACAATATCAAGAAAGCAACAC